AGTGAGAGGGAAGAGGGAAGAGAGATAGAAGGAAAATGTAGGGGTTTTGAAAATGTCGGTGGTAAGAGAGAGAGAGAGAGAGAGAGAGAGAGTAAGAGAGAAAAAAGGGAGGTTAAACGATGGGGGATATGGGTGGTTTAGTTGTTTTTTTTTTTAATTTTGAATATGACATTATTTTGGGTGTTTTGTTTGTTCAAATAAACATAAATGGGGTTATAAATTGAGAGAAGATAATTTTTTTTTTTTTATCAATTTTCAACAAGTAAATACAAAATTACTATATTCCAACTAACATAACACGTAATTTAAATCATCCAAATCAAATAATATTTGGTATTTATTAAAAAAATATATTAATGACAAAAAAATATAAAAATAGTAACTAATCGAATCCAAAGGTTATATATATAAATTTGTTTTGTTAACGGACTTACAAGGACCTGCAACACATGTACGACCCGATTAAACGACAACAATCGAAAATAAATAATCGCGTTATTCCTGTCAACCCTTTTAATATGAGCCTACCCATATTTTAAAATTAATATAATAATATTTGCATAATTACAATTGAAATTTGTTATCCACATTTTTTTTTAATCCCAAAAAAACAAAAAATATTAAATATACATTGTACTTTTGTACACCCATAGGAGTTACAACTGTTATGAGTGTATTTATCGGCTCAATTGTAGTAAAATAGTGTAGAATATTTATGAAAAGCCAAGCAAAATTGATTGTAATTACCATTGTAATTTATTACATACCATTAATAGCTACCAACCACATACCACCCTGAATTTATTCATCCTCACCTACTTGTAATTATCAGTTAAACCTCTAATATTTTGTATTTTGTCGTGAACCTACTCCAACAACAAGACAACATACTCCAACAACACAAGCTTGGAACCATACATTTCTACATCTGCATGAGAGGAGAGGAAATTCCACAGGTATGTAATACATGATACAAACTATTATGAATGCCATTTATTTTTAATACGTTAGAATAATGTTTGATTAAGTGTTCATTACAGTAATTCACTTATTTTAATAAATATATGTCAATTTTGCAATTTTTTCTCATTATTGTAACCCATAATTTTCAATTTTTTGGAAAAGATTATTAATATTTTTTTTAAAAAAATGTATTTTAGGTTTGACGCATAAAATGGGTCACACTATCGTTGAAAAGGGAAAACATATCGTTATAGACTTGAATGAAGCACCTGAAGATAGTGATATCTTTGAATTTGACACATTTAATGGTGAATATGGGCATCGTCAGGGTAACTTAGAAGCTGACGAATTGGAAAAAAGTTTACAAGACTTATCGATTGAAGAAGTCAGTCACATGAAATTTAACTCGGAAGCTAAAGTGGGTAATTTTTATAACACATACGTTAAGTTTGTAGGTTTCAGCGTCAGGAAAGATGACTTAATATATGACAAACACCATGTCCCGGTGTCTAGGAAATGGGTATGTTTGCGACAAGGGTTTCGAGCTACCAAATACTTATACCAGGGTGACAAGGCACAGGAACCAAGGGGAATAACTCGAGTTGGTTGTTTGGAAGTTTTCCGCGTTAAATATGACAGAAAGTCAAAAATATGGGTAGTAAATGAGTTTGTGAATGATCATAATCATCCATTGGTTCCACCGAGTGGAGTGTCGTTCCTTCGGTCCCACCGACGTGTTAAAAGCCCAGACATAGAGCAAGCAACAGCGCTTCGCAGTGTTGGAATACGCACTAGCCAAATACGAGATTTTATGTTGCATCAAGCTGGCGACTATTCCAATGTTGGCTTTACGCGAAAGGATTTGTACAACGCTGTTGCCAGCCAAAGAAGAGAGGAAATTATCGATGGGGATGCTGAGGGTGCACTAGCATACTTGAGCGCAAAAGAGGAGTTCCATTATTTTATTTCAGGTACAACGTTGAAGATGATAATGCATTGAATTGCCTCTTTTGGGCGGATTCAACTTCCCGTGTTGACTATTCATGTTTCGGTGATGTATTGGTATTCGATAAAACATACCGCACCAATGCATACAAAAAGCCATTTGTAATACTTGCAGGTGTAAACAACCACAACGCCACTTGTATTTTTGGATGTGCATTACTTTCTTATGAGGCTGTGGACACATATGTGTGGGTTTTGGAGACATTTATGGATGCAATGGATAATAAAAAACCTATATCAGTTGTCAGCGATGGGGACAAGGCCATGGCCGCTGTAATCAAAATAATATTTCCACACGCAAAACACAGGCTATGCAGCTGCCATTTGGAGAGGAATGCGCTTCAAAATATTCATGCTGAGAATTTTCTTCACGAGTTTAAGAAATGTATGTGCTCCCGATGTACACCTGAGGAATTTGACATTCTATGGGAATCAATGGTACATTCATTTGGGCTGGAGGATAACAACTGGATATCTGATGTGTACACAAAGCGTTGGAAATGGGCTAAAGCATTCTTGTGGGGTCATTTCTTTGTCAGCATCAAAAGCACACAATGCTCAGAAAGCTTGAATGGTTACTTAAATCGTTTCCTGAAAACAAGGCTTCATNCTTTGTCAGCATCAAAAGCACACAATGCTCAGAAAGCTTGAATGGTTACTTAAATCATTTCCTAAAAACAAGGCTTCGTTTGTATGAATTTGTTAGACAGTATGATAGGGGTGTATCAAGAATCCGAGAGACCGAAGCCTATGACAATCATTATTCTGAAAACAGTACCCTAGTGTTGACCACTACACTACGCTGCTTAGAGCAGCATGCTGCTCACTATATACCAGGTCAATTTTTTTAAAGTGCGGGATCATATAAGGCCAAAGGACTCTTCTTCGTGGTCCAAAAAATTGAGCATAGTACTCATTCGAGTTATTATCTATCGAAGTACACAAAACCAACATCCAGTTGGAATGTGATATATGAATATCAGACTCACACCATCAAATGCAATTGCCTGAAATTAAAATATATTGGACTTCCTTGCTCACACATCATAACAGTTTTGAAAACTAAACACATAACAGAGTTCCTTCCTTCTACTATTCTAAAGCGATGGACAATTACTGCAAAATCGGCTAGCCCACTGAGCTTTGTGCCTGAAACATCAACAACCATATCAATTTCTTGTCGCTATGCTGGATTAATGTCAATGTGTAGCCGGATGTGTTACTACGGTACACAATTGCCTGAGGATGCACATGAGTTTCGAACAACAATAACTGCAGTAACCAATCGTATGAAACAACATCATGATACACTCGAAGCAAGACAGGTGTCAGCATCACATGACACACATAATAACATTGTGTCGAATAGAAAATTTGGTGTCGTCGATCCCAAGACGATGACAACCAAAGGCAATCCGGGCCGTATACAGAAGAACCTACCAATAGCTCCACGACGATGTAGTAAATGTCGTGGCACTGGACATACTATTCGTAGGTGTCCACATCTTACATGCCCTTCTCACAACCTGGTGGCTCCCAACATCCCATGCCATCAACTCAAGAACCCGACCAATGGAATCCAACTTACAATTACAATGTCCTCTGATATCAGGTTTCATACATTATAACCTTTTAATTACTTTGGGAAATTCATCAAATTACCAACATGGTTTTCATTTCTGTTTTTAATTTTTTTAACAGTAGACGATATACTGGAGAGGGTACAAGGTGAGTTGGATGTAACATTGTGCCATGAAGATATATAATGGAGGCAGAAACCCAATTTGCGATGGGTAGGTGAGGGAGACACAAAGGTTGTTGAGGGGCACTGGATGATAAGAATGGAAAAGAATTCTNGAAACCCAATTTGCGATGGGTAGGTGAGGGAGACACAAAGGTTGTTGAGGGGCACTAGATGACAAGAATTCTTTCTCGTAAGCTGAAAGTTAAATGTAGATTGGTACAATGGAGGAGCGAATGTGTTGGATCATTGAAGCTTAATACAGATGGGGCTTCCAAGAAAAACCCAGGGATTGCAGGGGGAGGAGCTGTGGTGCATAATGAATGGGGTGGCATTGTTGTGGCTACCTCATTTTTTGTTTGGGCAGTGCTCTAACATCATTGCAGAATTTAGAGCATTGTCCGATGGATTGAAGCTTGTTTTGGCATATGGTTTGACTTGTTGCAGGTTTGAAATTGAATGTCAATAATCAGGATTTTGGTGAATGATGTTCTGGGTATTATTGACTGTCTGTGCACATGTTTGAGCTATTTGACACATATCAGTGGCTTCTTGAGGGGTCTGCATTATAGCTTGGTGCATATTTTTCGGGAGGCGAATACGGGTGATACTGATACTCTGGCTGGGCAGGCTGTACAGAGTAGGAATTCAGTTGATTTTTCGATGGGTTTGAGATTGCCTTGTGATGTTACCTTTGTTCTGTTATCTGATCAACAGAGTCTCCCTGTTTTGCGAAAAAGAAAGAGGGTGGTCTTCAATGATAAGGTGTAATAGGAGCTACTGTTGCAGCTTTTGTCTTGGATTATTAAGTGTTGATTTGCTTGAAACAATGGGAAAAGATGAAAAGCTCTTTATTGTTGATATGTGTTTATGGATTTGGACTGTGATGGGGATTTTTGCTGAAACTTTGGAGTTTGATGTTGTGTATTTTATGCTTTTAATTGTTAGTTTTGCCTTTTATTGGGTATGGATGGGTGTTTGTGCCTTTTCCTTTGTTTCTTGTCAATATTTTGCATTATAAATAAATAAAATTCCCTTTTGATTAAAAAAATTAATAATAATAAGATCCCTGCTTTTGATTCAATTGTGCATAGCCAATAGATTAATACTTCTTTAAACATTTTTTAGGTGAGTACGACTACATGTGCTTTGTACTGCTTTTCTTGACAATATATTGATCAAAGAAGTAATTACAAGCACAGAACAAAAAGTTCTACAAATTTCAAAAATAGCTGTAATCCTTTAAGATGATTAAAACCATTTTAAGCTACAAAATTGTGTCTGCTAATCTTCAGTCTAGCTCCTGAACTCCCAGACAGCTCCTGATGCAGAATCCCCAGATCAGAAACAAACCAGTACAACACCCATTCAGTCCCAACTGGTTTGCTATGTACCCAAACTCAGCTCCTGCACCTTTGGTAACAGCCCAGCTCACAGCAACAGTCTGCCAGAATAGCAGACAACTACCGAAACAAAGCAAAACAGCAAACCAGTCCAGCAGCCAAGCATAAAGACCAGGACCAACCCACCACATCATCATCCTAATNAACAGCCCAGCTCACAGCAACAGTCTGCCAGAATAGCAGACAACTACCGAAACAAAGCAAAACAGCAAACCAGTCCAGCAGCCAAGCATAAAGACCAGGACCAACCCTCCACATCATCATCCTAATAGCTATCTTCAAAGTCAATCCACCAGAAAATACAAAATCCATCATAAACAGACCAATGCAATCCAGTTTAGATAAAAAAACCAAGAATCAGCTCTATACACCAATTGCCCAGACATAAAACTTGCCCACACTGTCTGGCAGAATATAAATCATCACAAAAGTTGGTTTTAATCCTTCAAAAGGCTCAAAGCAACTTATCCTCCAACCACAAACAAGACCCCATGCTCAACACATTATCACCCCAGACACATACTAGACCAATCAGATCAACTGCCCAGTCTTCCATCAACCATTCTAACCTCTCCTCCGTCATTCAAATCCTTGCCTTTGGTCACAAATCACAAGTCTCTTTTTCCTTGTAGTACCCAGTCCAAACTGATCCTGATGAAGAATCAATTTGACAGACTTAACAACCAGACTGGTATGAGAAGATAACTCAGTAGATGCTCCCATCTGAACAACAATAGAGGCCAAAAAATTAGCTACAACATGTCAACGTTTCTAACTACTAGCTAATATATTTAACAACCATCCACCCAACATCTACAACACCTTTGCCAAAATGCCAAATATTGCTATAAAACAAAAGATTCACAAAAACAAAATACAAAAAACCAATGTATCATTTGTTGATGTACTCTTTAAAGTCCTTATAAAAACAATCTAATTTTGACTCCAGATGCTGGAATGACCCTTTCGTTTCATCCTCAAACTTTTCAAACCGGGCCTCCAACTTTTCAATCATTTGCTGAAGTGTTTGTCAACCCTCACTAGTGCCAGCATCAGAACAAACTTGACTAGTCCCAGCTTGACTACCCACAACCTGAGGCACTGCTGCTGCCTACTTCACATGTTTGCCCCGTTTCACACCTAGATTAGCTCCCACACTTTTATTAAGTGTACCCATACCCATTGGATTCATGGGGTAAATAAAAATGTCATTTTGCTGAAATTCAACCCCACTATGCTTCAAAATCTTGGAAACTAATATTGGAAATGGAAGACATGGCCTGCCACTAGCACCATAACCTTCTCCATCAGTAACTCAATGATCGATCAATTATGCATAATTGATCGATCGCAATCCCACTGCCACCATAACCTTCTCCATCACTAATGACATGATCAATCATCATACATAATTGATCGATTGCAATCCCACTGGCACCATAAGCTTCTCCATCGGTAACTCCATGATGGATCATTATACATACTTGATCCATCGCAATCCCACTTCCCCTTTAACTTCTCCATCAGTAACTCCATGATCGATCATCATACATAATTGATCGATCACAATACCACTTCCCCTTCAACTTCTCCATCATTACCTCCATGATCGATCATCATACATAATTGATCGATCGCAATCCCACTGAATTTCAATATTTCTTAATCTTGTTGTAATTATACCATTAATTTTGTAGTTTTACCTAGTAATATCATTAACATCGCAGTTTTTTAGAAAAAACACCTTATTGAGCCACTATGATTGATCATTCATATTCGAGATCGGTCAAATTATATATTTATTTATTTCTTTCCAAAATTTTATTTTCTTACACAACACCTTTCTACATAATGATCGATCATACATTTATTCGATCGATCATATATTATATTGATCGATCATCTATTACATTGACTATGAGTCGTAAAATTTTCCACTTTTGTTGTAAATATACCTTTACTTTTGTACCTATCCCATTACTTTTTTTCATTTCTTACTGATGTCGTAAATACACCATTGCCATTGTACTTGGTTCCACTCACTTTGTAATAATACTATTATCTTTGTTATTGTACCCATTATTGTTGTAAATCTTGCAACTAATATTGTAAATATTCCATAATATTTGTAACTCACTCATTGCTGTGGAGTCATAAATTTTTCCACTTTTGTTGTAAATATACCTTTACTTTAGTACCTATCACATTAATTTTTTACATTTCTTACTGATATCGTAAATACACCATTGCCATTGTACTTGGTTCTACTCACTTTGTAAGAATACCATTATCTTTGTTATTGTACCCATTATTTGTTGTAAATTTGGCATGTAATATTGTAAATATTCCATATAACTCACTCATTCCTGTGGTATCCGGCTGTCATCCGATTGCCTTGCTTTTGCTTTACACGTGTCAATTTCTGCATCATTCTGCAGTGACAAAATCAGTTTTTAGCCCCCTTTGATGTTTGGTATGGTACCGAAATTCTTAATGGATGTACCGTAGTCCAGTCCTAAATTGGGGGTTCTCATTTCTAAAAACTTTTTCCTATGCAAGTGAGAGTTGACTAAGTTACTAAAAAAACAAAAAATTAGTATTGTATTAATATTTAGGGTAAATTACAATGACACCCCTCTTAGTTTCTAAAAATTTCACTGAAACCCTTACTGTTTTTAGAATGAGAAATATTATTTTAAATTAAAATGTGGACTTAAAATATACATGTGATCACAATCGTTGAATATGTTGAAGTATTAATAAACTAGTTACAATAATGCTACACTGACCAAATTTTGGGACCAAATTTTGATCCCAAATGACATGGTAGTTGACTTGGGCTTCTTCTTTGGTGCCATGTTATTTAGGCCCCAATAAAGACTCCAAATAATATTCTGCAATGTCATTTTGGGCTCCAAATTTGGTTTTAAAATTTGGTCAGCATAACATTATTGAACTAGTTATTACTTACATCTGAAGGCACAGAATAATAAGAAAAGGTAAACAATAAACATATTTATATTCATATCTAAAATAAAATCACAAACATAGTGGAGAGATAAATGAATTTAAGCATCGGTTGTAGTCGGGGTGAGAGGTGGTGGGTGGCAGTGGCGGTGGTGAGTGGCAATGACCGTGGTGGCGGTGGGCGAATGTGGTGGCGACAACAGTAGCGACGACGAATGTGGTGGCGGCGACGATGGTGGTAGTGGTGGCGGAGATGACAACAGTGGTGGTGGTGGTGGCATTGATGGTGGCGACGATGGTCGCGACTGCGGCGGTGGCGGTGGCGGTGGTAGGTGTGGGGGGGGGGCGGTGGTAGTGATAGAGGTAGTGGTGGGGCGATTTCAAATACTATTTTTTTTTTAAATTNGGTGGGGGGGGGGGGCGGTGGTAGTGATAGAGGTAGTGGTGGGGCGATTTCAAATACTATTTTTTTTTTAAATTACTTATGAGAAATAATTCCTAAAAGTATTTTTAAAAAGTCACTTCAAATACACCCTTAAGAGCTTATTTTTCCTATTAAATTTAGGGTGTTTATATTGACCGTTAGATTAACTTTAAAGTAAAATTTAAAGAGATCTCAACCGCGAATAACAAAAGTCATTTTGTTTATCTTTTGAGATTGAATTGTAAGCTACTTTATTATATAGACTAGTTATTGCCTGTGCCTGAAGACACAGAGTAATAAAACATGGTAAACAATAAATATATTTGTATTCATTTCTAAAATTAAATCACAAACATAGAGAAAATATAAAATAATTTAAGCATCGATTTGTAGTGGGGGTGATTGGTGGTGGACGACAATAGTGGTGGTGATAGGAGACAATGATGGTTTTGGTAGGTGGCAATGACTGTAGAGGTGGTGGCAATGGCAGGGGTGGGGATGGCAGCGACGACGACGACAGTCGTGGTGGTGGTGTCGGCGACAACGGTGGTGGCGGTAACGGTGGTGGTGAGGTGGGAGTGGCGACGATGGTGGTGGTGGCCGTGGCGGTGGGGGTGGCGGCAACGATGGTGGCAGTAGTGGTGGTGATGGTGGTAGAGGTAGTGGTGAAACGGTTTCAAAAACTATTTAAAAAAATATGTATTTATGAGAAATAATTTNGACCATAGTAATAGGAGAGAGAGAGAGAGAGAGAGTTTACCTAGGGTTTGTCTGGACGGGATCAACTATTTTGACATGGGTTTTATTTTATTTTATTTTTGGTTGTACATGAATATTTTTCAAGAAATGTAATCAAAACAGTGTGAGGGTAAATTAGACAATATAAAATTATGGTTATCCATATTCAGTCGACAATTCTGACATGGGGTCATTGTAATTTCAAAAACGAACAAGGTGTTCAGTGAAATTGTTAAAATCAAGAAGGGGTATCATTGTAATTATTTCATATATTTATTACATTTGTAGGTGTTTTTATGATTGTTGTGATACAAAAAAAATTGATAAAAATAATTAGTACAACAATGGTAAAATACCTACAAATATGATTAATCATCTACAAAAATAATAATTTTTTTGTACAAAAAAAATGGTAAAAATAATTATCTTAGTGATAAAAATACCCACAATAATGATAATAATGTCCTTGCAAGTGAGGTCTGCATACTAACGGGAATATCCAAATTATAGAGGTTGCACTTTCTCAATGAAGGGATACATATCTTGTCCTATATTTTTCTGTTTTTGAATATACAACAATTTTTTTTTCCTTTGAAGAGCGATGAATCTTGTTTGTTCTTAGGTGAAAAGAGAATTAGAATTTGACTTTATTTTCTACTTAGGATAAAAACCTCTTTGACTACTTAGACAATCTAATTTTGTTGAGTGATTAAAACATTTAAATATTGTTGATTTAAAATTTGTAGGAGCATCCACATCAATTTACCGAAATTCTAATTGCCTGAAAAAGAATTAGAGACCGGAGGGAGAGGTTCGAAGGTCGACCCTGCAATACTTAATTTAGTTCTTTACAAAGAAAGTTAATGATGCAGATGAAATTAGCCTTAACGCGAGCACGTGATGGAGATAACCCGCATATCAGCTTGCTTGTCCATATCCCACCATAATAGCTCACACTAGTTCCAACATTCTGAAATGGAGGTTCCAATTTTCTTACGCCCCATTCAAAAGGTNGGGGGTGGCGGCAACGATGGTGGCAGTAGTGGTGGTGATGGTGGTAGAGGTAGTGGTGAAACGGTTTCAAAAACTATTTAAAAAAATATGTATTTATGAGAAATAATTTATATAAGTACTTTTAAAAAATCACTGCAAACACACCCTTAGGGGTTTATTTTTTTTATTAAATTTAGAGTGTTAATATTAGCGGTTAAATTAATTTTAAAGTAAAATTTAAAACGATCTTAACCACGAATAACAAAAATTATTTTATTTATTTTTTAAAATTTAAATTATAAGTTATTTTATTACATATATATTGAACCCTACGGAACATTGGTATTTTAGAATTACACTGCATCCTTTTGAAAGTGACAAGTTGTAACCAACTCACCATTCAGTCAATAGACCGTACGTGTACAAACTTGGCAATCATGGCGTGAGCACAATTAATTCGTGAATTACCTATTTTGTCCCCATTCAAATAAACTATCCATTTTGTCTAATTAAAAATATAGATATCAATATATTGTGAGGATATACATATATAACATATGTATATATAAATGTACACACAGATATAACACAGGTTGGATGG